CCCCCCCCCCCCTCCCCCGACGATCAATTTCTGCTCAGCTTCCCCGCAAGTCTCACTGATCACAGATCACCGAGGCTACAATTACGTCTGTTTCCACTAATGATCATACGTCGCCGGGTTGACAGACGACGACGACGTAGGGTATTAAAATAATATGCGCTCAAGGAACGGCGAAAAGAACGACGTCTTCTGCCGGTTATTTTTGAATTTTTTCCTCACCTTATCGTCGAGACCTCCGCTGTTGCGTGATGCACCTGTACGAGTCCTCGGGGAATTGCAGTTATCGAGTATTATCCATGTCACGGGCGGCGATCGAATTTTTCGTCACGACACACACTCGCGGCGACGCACGCACTCGGGGGTTCACTCTCGAAAGGGAGGGAGCGAGTGATGAAAAACGGTTTGACTCTATTTAAATGATTCGAATTCCGGACGGGCGCCAAACGCACGAAACGACGAACGACAACGACTGACTGGAACGCGTGCGCGCCGAACGAATGTTACCGGCAGACTAACACGACGTCACGACGACGGCGGCCGGGCGGCGTCGTACGGCACCACCAGTGTCCACTACCACCACCACCATCAGTCACAACTAGAGACAACTACTACCACTACACCACCACAACTACTATTACTACTACTACTACAATAATACGACTATTATACGTTTATACGACACTGCAAAGTACCCGCCACGGTGAGACCGCAGACATTCCGGTGTCCACACGCGGGATCCGTTGATCGCGTCCCCGTGTAAACATTATCTGTATTATATCACACATCAACACAATAATATTATATAATGTTATGGTTTTGTTTTTCACTCAGGTAAAGGTAGGCTATACTAACTGTTATATGATCCAATCTGGAAGCACGGCTCGCCGTTCGATATTATTCGTTATTTTTGCAGAGTAGGTATAGGTTAGGTTATTATTTACTTATAATTTATTATTACTGCTGATTCATCACTACGTAATATTTACCATTAGATTTTTTTATTTTGTTTACTAAAAAAAAAATAATTTCTATGTATAGATGGTAATGGATAGTAATATAGTATGCTATCAGTGCGGAGATCAACTCCTTCAAAATTCGACAAATCTACCAATTCCAAGATTACACTGAGTGTAACTCTTTTACACGTTGTAAGTAACATTTTTGGAGCATGAATTAAATTTTCGATAAACTATCTATTGCTTATTACAATGGCGTTCATGTTTAATATTTGGACACATTATGGAACATTTTGGCTTCAAGATTTTATGTTTTGACCCGTCAAAGTTGCACCTTACAGGGCGGGAGGACTAGATTGATTTTCTAAAATATAATATTTCACATGGGCGGACGGGGCATTGCGGCAGTCAGACACCCTATATGCTATTGCCTATAGCAGTTAGTATACGACCTATTATATGGGTACCTGTAGTCCGTAGGTATTGTATTATATTTTATTGTGATCCACCAGCTGTATGGGCTTACATGTGTGAAGCGTCTACATTGTTTGCGGTGTTTTCGTACACACGTGGGGCTGCCGCCGCATACCTCTCATATCCAAGGAAGCTATACATAACATAAATATAGTATTTTATTTTAGGCATGTAGGTATTATTTGAGGTTTAGGTATACGGTCTACCTATTATTTATCGCTATGTGGTGTATATTTTACATAGTATTTTTTCTTCGTATTTTTGTTATTGTCCTCTCACATCATAAAATATATCTACGAGACGAGTTAAGGTTGGAAAAACAATATAATATCTTGCAGCGTACAATATTGTCATCTACACGCGTCTCTACCTCCGACCAGGGCATAACCTAACCGTTGTATAATATAATAAAATATAATATAATATCATAATAATAACACCCGCCGCGGCAGCACATCCGGGCCGGACACCGCATCAGGCGTCACACGATGCAACGGTACAGTGACCGAAAGGAAGAAGATCGGCTTATGCTGTGTACGTAATAGTACATACATTTGTTGATAATGTATGTATTTTGATCGCACGACACGAATCATATGGTTTTGGTTCCATTTATATAATGTACTATATACTATATACTGTATTATGATTTATGAATTATAAATATATGTATACCTAATATAGTATTATATTATAGATGTCAGTGATTTGCAGTATATCGATTTACTCTGTGATTTATAATCCTTATAATATGACCGTATAGGTACATCATAATTAGCGCTGTGAATTTGTAGGAAAGTGCATTTTTTTGGCGATTGTGAAACGTATAGCTTTGTAAGAACATAATTTGAATTATGTAATTACGAATCCATTTATGCAACTATTATTTTGAATTTTTTTGAATTTTTTGACATTTTGTTTAGGACATTTTTGTGCATTATTAGGTCATATTTTCCTTTTTTGTTCATTTTCCTATATTTTTAATCAAATTCCGTCAATTGACGGAAAAAATGTTTGAAAAAAAAAATTTGGTTTTATACACAGGCTGTTACGTCGATAAAATAAGGCGATTGCTAGATAAATACATAAGTTATTTGTAAGTTATTTATTTCTAAAATTTTTTGAAAATGTTTCAGGTGGATAACATTAAGTATAGAAAATTCAAATTCAGTCAACAATTTTATTATTTTATGTACTAATGTATAATATCGTGTACCTAATATTAATATAAGTATAAAAATTAAATTAAAAACCATTTTAAATGAATTTTATACTATAATTTTTGGCAAGTTTTGCACTTTAAGTACATATTTTATTGCATTTTTTGACATTTTTAATGCATTTTTTAAGGTTCTTTAGTGCATTAAATTTACAGCACTAATCATAATAATATAATATATCTATATGCGTCGTAGGTATATAATAACGTCTAAGGATTCGATGGAAAACCGTTGATATTCACTGATTTACTCGTACATCGATATGAAAAAATATAAGTACACGGTACCTACGGTTATAAATGAAAACGAATGTACAGGTAATTCAGATCGACATTCTGCGCGTTTCACCAAATCAGATCTCGTGGTTGCAATATATTATGCTCTACTAGAATTTAATATAATGATTGTGGGTAATTTATGTGTGACGTGCTAGTAGATACTGATGTAGTCAGGAACATGATATGGACCTTCTAATTTATCAATTATATCTTGCACTGTAAAAGTATATCAAGACAAAAATGTTTAATTTAATTCCGAGCACAGATTTTACGAATACATACTGCTAATTATTTCAGTGAATATATTAAATCGAGTGCCGCTTTTAATGTTTTTATCTTACCAGTTTATAGACAAAATAACGTATAAAATGTACAGCATAGCAATGTGGTTTACTTTTATTGTAGGACGTAGGTACTAGTTATACAGTTCAACAGCACTTATTTAGTATTCCTCTACCATCGTAGACAAACATCGGAGGAAATGGGCTTCCGAGGACTTAGCCCCCTAAATGCAATTGAATATAGGTACGTCCACGGACTACATGCAACTAAATTCTGCGGAGCCGCTTTACTTTGGATAATAATATGGTAGCATCCGAAAAAATTCAACCAAATGTCCACCCATGTTTACTGTTTGTATGAGAATAATGATGAATGTATAAAATATAATATAATAATGATAATCCGTCAATTTAGGTCATAAATAGTCAGAAGAAGTTAATTATCAAACATTTTTAGGTTATATTTATATGTTGAAGATTGGTATTGTTTTAAATTTTTAAAGATATTTTACTGTCTTAGAAAGCGAAACGGTATGCGTTTTTGAAAAAGACCTTTTAAAATATGTATTTATCCAATTATTTATGTAGAGGTTAGCATGGTCTATATCATCAACGTCCGTGGAGTAATTATATATGATTAAATTCACTAGTTCAACGAAACGAAGAAGTACAATAATGAATATTTTATCTGAACTATAATAACCTCAAATAAATTATGTCGGTGGCTGATGGTGTTTTTTTTCCACAATAACTACAAATGGTTCTTGAAATCAGATTATGTAAATATGACTGGAGTGCTGGGTTAGAATATTTGTATAATATATATATATCTTTAAAAAAAAACAGCAGGGTAGAGGAATAAAAAATGGTTGTACATTTTGTTTACGTGATATACGTTGTATTTAACAATTTATTGTTCGACGAAATTAAGTCATGACTAGGTATAGGTATGGTTATTTATTTATAGGACTACGTTTGTCAAATCATTTACCAGCGCGTCTAGATGTATACGATAAACAAGAATAAAATGTAAACGAGATGTTTTTTATTAGTCCATTCGAGTAAGTTGTTTTCAGTGAAGTATTCAAGGGGAGGATGGTCGGCACTTCTTATGAGGAAATAATATTTGTGTTTAATATCAACAATAATGCACTGATTTCACAGATATAAAATTGACTTAATAATATTGTATAATATGTTTTTATTTATAATATAAATTGTTGTCGTTTTGATGGCAACGACAAATGGTACTGCATGTATGTATTTTGTTAAACTCCAAGTATAATACTTTTTTAGTACATACAGTGGGATTTCTAAGCATTATCACCTCCATTGTATGTTTAAATTCTATATAGCATGCATGACTATGACATAAGCGACTATTTCACCCAAAACTTCACAAACTTATCTCAGTATAACAGTATAGTTTATAATATTAAAATGAAAATTCTAAATAACAAAATTAAGTCATAGAAGCGTACATGAATCTATATTTATATATAACCGAACGTGTCCTGACTGCTATGATAGCTAGAGACTAGTACTTTCGTTCCATCATGTATGCGTGCATTAAAAAAAAAGAAATGTTCAAAATTTCGGTATTTCAAAAAGGCGCTCACACAAGAATATTGAGATTTACAATGGAAATAAAAATATATTTTTTGCTTATAACTACAAGTTACAGATTATAATGGTAATAGTAAAAATCAGTATTTTGCTGTATATATAAATGGTTACCATTGATTATTCGGCAGATGAGATAAAGGCATGTATCAAATCTATGCGTTTACATGGCCTCGATTACAGAAACTTTATCTTAAAACTGAATGTATGTTTGTAGTTAAGATACCCAACTCTCGACTAAAATCTCATAGAGAGGTCTTACATAGATATATCGGAAAAGTTCGGAGAGTACATAGTTTGAACCCCGTTACAAAACATACCTACTAAATGTTGAATATCAATCTAATCCACGACTCGCAGTTATCCATCTCGTTTCATAGTTGTGAATAATATAGGCGGCGTTATTTGTGATTTGTTATTGGTCGAGTCCAAATTCGTAACCATCGAAAAATCTTTTGTCTGACGGGAAACAATACCATAAAAGGATGAAAAATACAATATACGTATAAGTGTCAACGTCAAGTCTCATTGCGCTGGAATTTCGTTGAACGTCAGCTCACTATTATTAATATATTTTATTATTTAATACTCAATCGCAGACGACGAAGCGAAAAACCAAACACTATATTAATTAGATCGAGAATCGAACGTCTCGGTGGATGAGAAGAA